ACCAAGTGGCCTATACCTTTCGAATAGCGAAAGGATTAAATTTGGGTAAAACTGACCGCGGCGACCAAGAGGTATATTCCCATATTATTCAAGTTTCGATTTAAGTGTTGTTTGTGTAAACTTGTTATGGAGTACTAATCAAAAAAAGGAATACTTCCTTAAAAAAATAGAAACGATTGATTTTTAAAATTATTCGTAATAATAAAATTAAGTTAAATATCACATGAATGACATATTTGCAATTGTAATTAGTACAATTGCAACACGTGTACGAGTATTCTTGGTATAACATGATAATTTATTCAATCATTTAATATTGATAAATGCCGATAATAAGAATAGTTTTTTTTTGCAAAATCATCTAATCAAATCTTTAAAAATATACAGATTTATAAATCTCAAAATTATAACTTCATAATATTCGAATCCATTTCGTTTTTTCAATGTTTGCTTTTATTTACTTAATGTTTACAGTTTTCCAAAATGTTTATTACTGCATCAACTTTGCCAATTTAAGACAAATATTAAGTCGAAACCGTTATTATGAGAGTGAACTGCTGTAAGTGAAAGAGTCAGAGTTATCTTTTAGCTGTTTTAAGCCCATATATTTTTTTGTCTTAGAAGATACCTTAATATCTTAGAAACATCTGTAAAAAATTCTTCACGTACTATAGAATTAGCGAAAATTCAAATGTGAATGTGATTGGTACTGTCTAGATCCTAAAAAAATCGTGTATGCATCGATTAAGAAACTAAAAGCAGTGCAATATTATATCTTCAGTACCAATGAGAACTACACCCTAAAGAAAGATATACAAAGCACATCGTTTATTAGTGTTCTTTTCCCAATTTTACAAAAAGGAACATGAGTTGGCGATTGACCCTCAAGGAGTCTTGAAAATTTTTACAAAGAATAATAAAAAAACAGTCTTAATTTAATTTTAAATATTTTTTTATATCAGCCTAGTACATACTTAAATATTATATATTTAATTGTATACAGTGTGTCCGAAATTGGTGATTAAACAGTTAAATGGGGAAAGTTTTAGAAAATACCGTTTATAATTCAATGCCGTTTAGTTTGAAATGTTTTCTCTTTTGGTTTTTGAGTTATATTGAAAAACTAAAATGACGCATTTCCGAAACTACCCTGTATTTTCTTTATTTATGAAAATGTCTAAAATCTGTAAAAACTTTCTTGAAGCAACTTTTTACGTAGAAAACGCCTGCGTCGTCACATTTTATTTGCAACGTTTCGGTTTCTTAGAACCATCATCAACTTTGTTTTTTCATATAAGCGCCATATTGGATTTTTATCTGAAACTAAACGGGATTGAATTATAAACAGAATTGTCTAAAACTTTCCCCATTTAACAATTTTTCTATCTCTAACAGTTTCGGAGATCGCAATACATGCAGCACCAATTTTGGACACATTGTATATACGCATAAAAGTTGTTCATATCTGCATAAGTAATTCATTTTTTAATTTTAAAATATTATGCATATATATACACCTTTAACATTGTTTTTATTTTACGGAAGAGTGTATTTTTGAAGGGGGACTTAAGCCCCCTCCCAAGAAGAGTTATTACGCCGCCAATGGTCATAGGCGTTTTACTCAAAGACTATTTTGAACTACGCATTTGAAATTTGAAACAATTGGATTATGTAGTGGCGCAAATACAGACACTAACTAAAAAAGGGGTCTCAAATGGAAGCTCTTTGAAGCACGATTTTAAAAATATGTAATACTCCCTACTTATCTTTAAAAGTAATGGTCAGAAAAATATGAAAAATAATATCATGAACTTTGAGAATTAACTATAGATTGAACGAAAATTATTTATTTTGGGGCTCAATTTTGGGGTAGGAGTACATTTGGATATTAGAAGCATAAATAAAAGCCTGATTTCAATAATGTATAAAACGTTCAATTGGTCTACTTTTTCTTCAACACTTAAAAAAACGCATAAAAGTTATTGTTGCCTAAGTACTACAGTGTGTTGCTGAACTGATGCAACAAACTTCAAGGGGAGAGAGTACTTCTAAAAAAATGAAAACAATTTCCTATTACCATACCTTCCAATCAGGGATATCGCTTATTTGAGATTTTACATTTTACGAAGACAAATTGAGTTTTATTACTTAATTAAAAATCTGAAGTGTCCAACACATGACTTTCCTATCTAATTATTATAGGCTTTTTCATAAAATATAAAAATGACTACCAATAAAGTACCCCCCCAGATGTTTCGACTCTGCTCAAAATCTAATCAGTTCATTGGACGCCGGAATAAAGCTTAAGTTTAAAATTTGGTGTTTTTATTTGTATCGGTTCATAAGTTATGGTGGACACACGCACACACACACACACACACACACACACACACACACACACACACACACACACACACACACACACACACACACACACGCACGCACACACACATACACACACACACATACACACACACATACACACACACATACACACACACACACACACACACACACACACACACACACACACACACACACACACGGATACGCACACGCACACACACGCACACACACGCACACACACACGCACACACACACACACACACACACACACACACACACACACGCACACACACACATACACATCATCCCGAAAATTGTCAAAACGGATTCAGGGGACCCCAAAACGTAAAAATCCGTCGAAAACTGGAGGTCGAAAAAAATCATGATTCCTATACTTTCCTGCATCTTTGGCATATTTGGTACACACGAAAACTTGTTTTTGCTTGTAGGATATGTATTTCTTTGACAAAAGTTTATTCACAGGATCAAACAAGCCAGAGCATTGTACACATAATACCACGTTGTACATAGTATGTATTAAAATATTATATTATAATGCTGAAATTGTCTATGATCATGGTACCGGAAAGTAGTGTGGTACGGTACGAGAGAGTCAAAGATAAAGAAAGAATGAAAGCGAAAGAGAGGCGTCCAGTGGGGAATACATGCTTCACTGTAGCTGCAAACGCTAAACTTTTAAATTTATATTACTGGTGTCTGCAAAAACTTGTTTTGTTATTGAATCTTCTCTTAGTTCTTGTATATTTCTTGAAGTGGTAAGTGGATTGGGAATGTTCTTTTCTGTGGTGGATGTTTAGCTTCATTGGCTGTGGGATTTTACTTAAGTTTTCTGGTACTTGATATTCTTCTTATGAACAATCTCAACTAACACAGAGCTATTGTTCTGGACTACTTTCGGAGCAAATTTAGGAAAGAGCTTGTTTCATTTAAGGATTCTCCTTGAGTAGATTTTGTATTTTGGCTTGTTTCGGAGTTCAATAATTTGTAGAGGTTTACTCTTTGGTCTTCTTGAATTTTTTTTTTATATTGGTATCCTTGCTAGCATGCAGGCTGTTTTTATAAAGAATTTTCGTCATATTGTATGGTATAAAGTTCTTGTAACGAAAATTTTGATTGGGGTTGTTGGGGCCTTGAGTTCATTGGTCGACTTCTATTGTTTGCTGTTGTTGACATACTTATAGGTGTTAGTTTGGGTTGTCCCGATGACCAAGCGATTTGTTGCTGCGGTGGCCTAGATATGGAAAGTCTGAAATCTGTTCTTGACTAATTAAATAATGATTTTTGGTAATTCTCGATTGATGATCCAAACGGAGGTTGATGGTTTGTATTATATCCTCATCGGTGTCGCCATAGGTTGTGGTGGTTTAAACATTTGCTGCTGCCATGGTAGTGGTGCTACTGAAGCAGGTTGGAATTGTGGTGATTGTGTATAGGCTTGCTGTCTGTTGTTGATGAATATGTTGCCTAGGATTTTGGATGTTGTGAGTTGGTCTTCCATTTAGAAGAGTTGTATTTTGATGGTAGTTTTTCTAGGCGTACCTAATATTATTTTCTTCCTGAATATATTGTATGGCTGCTGTTAGGATAGTTGGCCTCATTGCACTTATTGTGGACCCCATAGGTTCTCAAAGTCCTGCCAACAAGGTAATTAAGGCTTCTTGGTGGAAGAATTCCTGTTTGCTTCTTTTTATTTCTGGGTTTTGCGTATATACTTCGATATAGTTTTATATGCAGTTTAGAATACCCATAATTTTCTCGTAAAACTGATTTGATGATTCATTTGGACCTTGTCGCATATTTACCAGATCTGTTGTAAGAGTATTTTCATTACGTTGGTCCCCAGAGTTTTGAATAAGGATATTTTTGATGTCTTCTTAGCTTTCACAACCATATATTCACATCAAAATTTGAGAGGATGCACAGGTTCCTGACATTGAATGGTAGTACAACCATCTTGGTAGTAGTAGAAAGGTTGGTGTAGGTTAGTGTCTCGTCGAGGTTTGAGTTTGATACGCTTAAGGAACTAAAAGCTTATGCAGTAAGTCTTATTCTTCTGCATTTGAGTGAAAACTTCGTGTAGGAGTTTTCGTCTGAATCTGATATATATTGTTTAAAAGTTGCAGATGATGCCGTGTTGCATTCCTGTTTATTTGCTTTCTGTTTTTACTTCCTAGGGTGAACTTCGCTTTGGTTTTTCCTTGGAGATGGGCTTTTGATTTGGATAGAGGATCTTCTAAAGGACACTCTTTCTCTCTCCTACTGACTGCGCTAATTACGAGTTTTAACTTTTAAACTCACTTTTTAAAAACTATTAATTTAATTTTTGAAAATACCTTTAACAATTTTCATATTATAACTACAAAGTAAAATATATATCAGATTAAAAATAATATTAATTGACAATCTGTTTACAATAATAATAAATGCTGACATCGGTGGATATTGGCGATATCAGCGCCTGGCCCTAATCTATCAACATTATCAACTCTAGTAATTTTAAAACGACTACGGTATGAAACACTATTGCGCCTAGTACTACTTGCATTTGGGAAACATTTTTTAACTTTGAGTTTCGTTGTATCATATTGTGAGCATATTCTTGCCATGAGCTAAGTCCTCTCATTTTGTTACAGACTTACTGTGTCGATCATCAAACTGCAGATTCGGCATGCTCAGCAACAGCTTATTTAGGAGGAGTTAAAGGAAATTTGGGAACAATCGGTGTATCAGCAGCGGTGGGAAAGAAAAACTGCACTGCTATGAATCTTAAGGAAAACGAAGTTGATTCAATTGCAAGACTGTTTCAGTTAAAAGGAAAACGAACGGGTTTAGTTACTACAACCAGAGTAACACACGCTTCACCGGCAGGTAAATATTATTATCAATTGTTTATTATTAATTTGGCTGTTTTTTTTATGAAATATTGCACATCAACAATTAATCCTGATGGCATAACTGTTTTGTCAGTTTCTTCGTGAAATTTGTTTATAGCAATACCTTCGTTTTGTATGCCGTACTCAGTTGCTGGGGTAGTTATTCCTTGTTTGTCTGTCAAGATTTTTTTACCAAACAAACGCATGGAGTAGGGTACGAACACCATTTGTGGTCACTTCACCGTTAATGGCCACCTAGGCAATTATTATATTCTAACAAACCCTATGTCTGTAGTATATTCAAGGGAATAACAAATATACAACGTCGAAGACCTCACACTACTTTGGTACGAATAGCATTGTTGTCTGAGGTATCGGTTAATATTAAAATGCAACTAAATTTGACAAGGTCGTGTGCAAGTTGTTTTCTTACCAATATTGACAAGAGACGAGGTATCTTTATTTAAGCTATAGTTAATATTTAAGTGAAATATTTAAATACATAAATTTGTTAGGTTAGAAGCTTATGATTTTCGATTATTTCTATGTAGTCAGAAATATTTAATTTCATCTGGAACAAGCGTTAAATCGAGTAGCCAGAAACGGAACAGCAAATATTGCATTTATACCATGTGTGACCATATGATGGCTAATTTTAGAACACTTATGATCCATTTTTGGTCAGCCAGTGGCTAAGTGATGGCCACCAATAGAATACTTATGATCACATGGTAAATTGACTGGACACTAATAGAGCAGCAATTGCCACTTAGATAATATATTTATTCTTGCCATGTGGACCTGGCGCATAAAATGACTTCACCCGGTCATTTACCACCGGGGTAGTAGAAGACCAAATGATCAATTTCTAAAAATGGAGCATCTATAAACCTCTCGGTGACGTTATTATCTTGCAGGACTTTGACCTGGGCGGTTGGCTCTCCGTTGACGACACCCTCCAGCGAAAACTGGCAGGTTCCTAATGAATTAATAACCTGCAGGACTTTGACGAGCTGAAAACATGGCTGTCTGTAGATACCCCTCAGCGTCTACCAGTAGGTTTTTGACGAGTTGATACCTATGGGCTTTGATGAGCTGAGAAGATGGCGGCAACCAGTAAGTTGAGAGGCACGTTCTGTATACCCCTAGATAATGTACAATGAGCTATATGCGGCCTAAGAGCTGTGGGGCACCATTTGTAAATTTAACTAAGTCTCCCAAAATAACAATTCGCCATAAATCCAGTATTAGAAGTTGTAGAAGCAGATGGATATAATCCACAGCCAGTATGCCGCGAAGGTATTTATTTCTTGATTAAGAACATTTAGTAAAAGAAACAAAAATGTCCGAAAGGTTAAAAGTAAATTTAATGATGCGTATACATGGTGGTGAGCTCCTGATGATGTGAATTCGGAATGTTTGTTAATATCGTTGTTAATATCGCAAATTTCTCTTCGACAGTTAACATGATTACCAAAAACATGTGTTACACTATTTCCAAAATCTTGTTTAAGTTGTGCAATGCTTCCATCTTTATTAGTGTAAACCAATTTTTTTATGACATCACCTGTTAAATAACGGTTCTAGTGTTCTTCTTTATGTTCCGACTTTGTTACCTGAAATTAAAAATACCATAACGTAAACTAGTTTAACAGATATTAAAATGTGTACCTACCTCTACACGGAAAAATTGTTTATTATCCACCAATCAATATAAGATTCTTCAAATCTGCGTGTTTTAGGATTAATGGTATTTACCCAGTAAGAGCAATTCCTTAAATTTTTTATTTAGAACGTTTTAAATCATGTAGCCTTTACAACTGACGATCGATGCATTCTGTAATATTTCTATTTAAAATAATACAAAACAAGGTAGATTGCATTTTAATCTCTAGAATGTTAAATTTTCATGTTCTGAGGATTATTTTTTGAAATAATTATACATTTCACAAACGCTCTCATAGAACTAACACATACAAGGCATCTCCTTTATATCAAATGATTTTAAACTATTCAAATATTGAAGTAAATTTAGATATTTTCTTGTCAAATTAGTAACTTTTATTTATTTATTTATGTATCAATTATTGCTTAATTTGCTCTGTTGTATTATTTTATTGTATCTAATTTTGCTTTATAAAATTTGTTAGTCTTTTTGTTTTTCTTCCTATTAGTTTGTTAATTTATATTATTTAAAATTGAGTCAGATGGGTGCATCCTTTTTTCTTTTGGTAAAGTTTTTTTTTCAGGATGCACTTTGCTGTCTCTGAATTTTTAATTATTTATTTGTAAATAAATAAATAAAAAATAAAAAAAAATAAATAAATAATTAGCGATATGTCATCAGCGTACATTGTTAGTTTTATATCAAGATATTATTAATTAATTAAAAACAAGTCATAGGGTTGTTGTACACTATTCTTCAGGTATTCGAAGCTCATTGCCTGGTGACCCTGTAGACTATTACTTGCAATTGTTTTACAAAAATTGAAAATTCCCAACAATATTCTAAAACAGTAATACAACGTGCATTTCCTAAAAAAATCATAATATTAACAATCCCTATATTTTAGGAGTTTATGCACACACGGCTTACAGACGGTGGGAGAGTGACTCTGCTGTGCTAAAATCGGAGAACGATCCAAAAGAATGCAGGGACATTGCTTACCAATTGATTTTCGGAGAAACTGGCAGAAATCTTCAAGTAATACTTGGAGGAGGCCGTAAAAATTTTATACCAAAAGAAGAAGAAGATGAAGAAGGCAAGCCAGGAGCTAGATCTGATCATATGAACTTATTAGTTGACTGGACTAAACAGAAGGAGAGGTTGGGTCTTAAATATGAATATGTTTCAAATAGAGAGCAATTGCTTAATGTAAAACATGACACTGAGTATATGTTAGGTAAGAGCAAATTTATTTAAATTATATTGAAAGACACATTTATTATATATCTTTATTTTGTCAAATCTTTTCCATTATTTATAAAGTTTTATTTAATTGTGGTGGGCCATAAGATTGGGTCACAGAACACCAGCGATAATATTATTTTGAAGTATTATTCAACATCCAATAAATGATATTAAATTAAAATCAATAATAATGACGTTGGTAATTAAAACATTATTTTTTGTTTTTGTAGTAAAATTTAATTGTTAGTGTAAAATTAGAGTGATGAAGGTGTTCCTTATCTATGTCTTAAACCTTTAACTAATTAATTCATTTGTAATATTGCAATTTTTTATGATAGCAGTAACTAAATAGTAGATTTTTTCAATCTATTTGTGTTGCAACTAACTGTATTTTGACCAACCAGCAATTTTTCTTTATTATATACCTAAGCAAATTTGAGAATTAGCCCAATGGTGTCTCCTCCTTTCTGTTCTAATATTCCAACTTCGGATACTGCTATTTTACACAATTCCACATCATTGATTCAAATGGTTTGGTCTTTTTAAGTCTTTTCGCTAGGTATTGGTTGTCCAGAAGCTGTAGAACTTCAATACTAACGTTAGCATTCACCGGTTTCGTGTTTTTTTATGAAATTTTTACTCTCTGGTTCCACTTTTGGCATTATTAGATCTTTGTGAAGATGAAACTTTGTTACATACGAAGGTGTGATTACTAGTGACTTTAAATTATTTGTTCTGAAATTATTATACAGAGTGGCCCAAAAGTATGGAAACGGCCAATTATCTCATAAATTGTTAGCCCTAATTGTACAAAATTTGGGGTACTCCTATTTTGGGATACGTTGATTCCAGATTTAATATTTGCAATGTTGCCAGATTTGCCGTTTCTCTTAAATTATTAGTCACTTTGGTTTTTCAAATTCATCACCCTGTATATTCAGTCATTATTGGAATCTCCTATTCAATACGCGTTTAACCATATGTAATACTTATGATTTAATGTAGTCTGGAAGGTCTTAAATAAATAAAATAAGTCTGGCAACGCCTAATTGTCAACTACATTAAAATGAAAGATTTTACATTTTTAACATAATGGTTACTATATCAAGTATTCAAAATGTGCTCCTTTTGTGAGTTAACAGTACCCTAATCGATGGTAGAATGCATTTACCACATTTCTCCATGATTGTTTTATTTATTTAAGACCTTCCAGACTACATAAAATCATAAGTGTTACAAATGGTTGAACTCGTATTGAATATGAGATTCCAATAATGACTAAATATACAGGGTGATGAATTTGAAAAACCAAAGTGACTAATAATATAAGAGAAACGGCAAATCTGGCAACATTGCAAATATCAAATCTGGAATCTCCGTATCCCAAAATAGGTGTACCCCAAATTTTGTATAATTAGGATTAGCAATTTACAAGATAATTGGCCGTTTCCAGACTTTTGGGCCACTCCGTATAATATTTATATGATTTTTATCTTAAGTTTTTCTGATTGAAAAACCAGCTTCTTGTATACCAATAATGCACTTTCCTCCTTTCGAATTCATTTAAATGATTGTATTTGTTCTGTAAACGATTCCTAGGTATAAATAACTCTTTTTTTGTGGAGGAAATGCCATTTATTTATTCTTGGTGAGCTTCGCTGACAGGAAGTGTGGGACTTGCATCTAGGCCATACCCACTCAAACTCCACCCTGTGTTTACGTCTCACTTTATTTGGAAAGCGTGTCGTCAAGTGATCGAGGTGATATTCGTGTGCTTTGAATTATTTGGTAGTTGTCTTGAGACGATATCATCGTTTAGATTATGTTTTCCGGTGTAATAACATGTCTGTTCGGTTTTGGACAAGAATATTTCGGTTTTTTAGTGAATCTAGGAAAGTGAAATATTGTGAGTTCTGAGTCATCCTGATTCTCCCATCACATGCATAGATCGTCTTTATTTTTCCCAATCCTCATAGTATAGGTTCGAAATGAACCGTGTCTAGTTAAAAATTGCGTAAAAAAGTAACTCGTTCTTCGATAGTGACATTTTACTCATTTTCTGAAATTTTTAATTTGTTGTTTGTCCATTGTCCTTTTCCGTTTCTCTTTCCCATTTCGTTTTTCTTTGTTAAAAAAGATCCCTAAATATTTGATCATTGTCTTTTAGATTCTGGGTCCTTTGAGAACAATTTCTTAGGTTCTGTGTTTTGCTAGTATAAGGTCATACCTTATTAAGAATATTGAAATTTTTTCACTGCTTCGTTTTCCAGCATCATTATTTCAAGGGGTGTATTCGGTTCGACGTATCCGAGTAAGTCGTCGGCAAAATCAATACCTAATATTAAAGATTCAATTGTACAATGTATTCCCAAGAGTTGGTTCCTACGGGACCTCAGCGCAGGTTTTCATTACTCGCTTTTTCGTTACTATGATCGTTCCATCTTTTAGATAGTTTTTGATGGTGCTGGTCGGGTATGTTGATATTCCAATGGTGGTTAATGCGTTATTAATATGTCTCCATTTGGTCGAATTAAAAGCGTTCTTTAGGTCGACATTTTTTTGTAATTTTTGACCTTTTTTTCAACTAGTTTGTTGCCATGTTCGTCGCCTTCTCTTTACGGAAGCCGAATTGGGAGTCGGATATCGCATGTTTGGTCTTTAGTTCTTATTCCAGAATGATTTTAATTAGTTTTTCCTACAGTTTACCTATGCAGTCTAGGAGGCATATTGGCCTGCATAAGGATACCTCATCTACTGGTTTCCCTTTGTTTCAGATGAGTGTGAGTCTTGATTACTTCAGAAGCGTCATGTACTTCTGCCTGTAGAGAATTTTGTTTTAAGTCTGTAGGAAGACCTTTGGTATTGTGGATATTGCCATTGAGAGGATATGTGGTGTTATACTGCCTTGTCCTGGTGCTCGCCCCAGTTAAATCTCTACTCCAGCTTCTTCGAGTTCCTTTATCGTAAACGGTTTAAAATCTGGGATAATGGTTACTTCTTGTAGTCTGATGGCCCTCTTTAGGAAAAGGTTCGTTCGACTTCTCATTTCTTGTCGTCCTGTACTGTGTAGGAGGCTCTGTCTAGGTTTGTTTGTAGGACTGTGAACTTTATCTAATTATCTTGCGCCGGGTTGAGCACCCCGTCAGTTATCGCGGTTTCTTCTTTGTCAGAAGATCTGACATCTTTAGGGTTCTCTTCAGCTGCTGTCATTTCAACGTCTTTTTTTTTCCTTCGCGTTTCCTTTATTGGGCCTAGTGACGTAGTTTTCTTCTCCGCGCTTGTAATAGTGCTCTGTCAAGTCTTTTCCTTTGCAATCGCTGATTCCATGGTCATAGACACAGCATTTGTAGCATTTTTATACTTTTACACACTTTTCTATAAGTACTACATCCTGCTAGTCCTACCCGTAGGGATTCTTTGCTTAGAATTTTTCTGGGGCTTCGCTGTTAAGTACTAGTGTTGAGGCTATAGTACTATTTCCCTGTAGGCGTAGTTCGCTCAGTTTTACGTTCTCCTTATCCCAGTTTTTCTCTCTTACAGCTTCCTTTAGCTCCTCCACACTGACTTAAATATTCAATTAAACAAAATTAAAATGTACAATTAATAATTTTGTGTTTATAGTCTTATCATTTCTTATTGGAGGCGGAATAGGGTAGTATAGAACATTTAATTACAATTGGTCGACTCTTTCTGGTTGTTTATATTTAACTCTGATTTATATATTAAACACTAATTTACCTTAACAATACACAATAATATCTTTCTATATACTGAACATTAATGGCAGAAACAGTCTCTTTTCTTTACAAATATGGCCATCCCAATATTATAGTCAACAATCTCGAATATATATCACAGATTCCACCATTTTTTAGAATAGCTCACGGCTCCAGTACTTTCTAGAATGGTGATTTAGTTCCACTGATGGCGACTATAGGCGTTCCTATAGGGGTGGGGGGGTTGATTGTTTTCTTATTAGAATATTCTTGGTAATCATAAAAATGGAGATCGTAATAAGTCCAAATAAGACAGATTAGAGCATGACCAAACTGGTAGAAAATGGCTCACACGACAGTATTATATTGATCTTTCATTTGTGAAGTTATAGTTAATTGAGTTTAATGTGCCATATTTTTATTAACTCATGCATTTGATTGTCGATTCTTTGATGGTTTTACTGATGGCAAATATGGCTACTTTTACATTTTGTGTTTGTTGTATATCAGGTAAACAACAGGATACCATCTTGATGTATTTCTGCTTAAACTTATTTAACCGTTGAATGTTTTCTTCTTCTTCTTCTTCTTCTTCTCTTCTTCTTCTTCTTCTTCTTCTTCTTCTTCTTCTTCTTCTTCTTCTTCTTCATCTCTTCTTCTTCTTCTTCTTCTTCTTCTCTTTCTTCTTCTTCCTTCTTCTTCTTCTTCTTCTTCTTCTTCTTCTTCTTCTTATTCTTCTTTCTTCTTTCTTCTTCTTCTTCTCTTCTTCTTCTTCTTCTTTCTTCTTCTTCTTCTTCTTCCTTTTCTTCTTCTTCTTCTTCCTTTTCTTCTTCTTCTTCTTCCTTCTTCTTCTTCTTCTTCTTCTTCTTATTCTTCTTCTTCTTCTTCTTCTTCTTCTTCCTTCTTCTTCTTCTTCTTCTTCTTCTTCTTCTTCTTCTTCTTCTTCTTCTTCTTCTTTCTTCTTCTCTTCTTCTTCTTCTTCTTCTTCTTCTTCTTCTTCTTCTTCTTCTTCTTCTTCTTCTTCTTCTTCTTCTTCTTCTTCTTCTTCTTCTTCTTCTTTTTCTTCTTCTTCTCCTTCTTCTTCTCTTCTTCTTCTTCTTCTTCTTCTTCTTCTTCTTCTTCTTCTTCTTCTTCTTCTTCTTCTTCTTCTTCTTCTTCTCTTTTTCTACTTCTTCTTTTTCTACTTCTTCTTCTTTTTCTGCTTCTTGTTCTTATTCAAAATTTTTTTGCATCAGCTACCTAATTAATACGATTCATGACTATTCTAAACACAAAATTAAAATAGTATAATTTCAGGGTTATTTGATAACGGCCACATGCGTTTCAACCTAGAAAGAGACAAGGAAGTTCAACCATCTTTAGAAGAAATGACCGAGGCAGCAATAAAAACTCTCCAAAAGGGTCCTGAAGGGTTTTTCCTCTTTGTGGAAGGAGGTCGAATAGACTCAGCCCACCATTTAAGTTCTGCACACAAAGCTTTGGACGAAGCTGCAGAGTTTTCCAAAGCTGTCCAGAAAGCCGTAGATATGACCGATGAGAAAGAGACGTTGATCGTAGTTACCTCGGATCATGCGCATACAATGAGCTATGCGGGATATGCTCAACGAGGAAGTCACATATTCGGTTATGGAGGAAAAGCGACGGATGATAATTTGTATCCCATTTTGAATTACGCCAACGGTCCCGGATATAAAGTAATGGATGGTGGAGAAAGATTTGTACCGTCGGAAGATGAAATGAGTAAGTAATTTTCGAATTTTTATTTCACTTATTATTGATTATGGACAGGTAAGCAGACCATAAAATAAAAAACTGTCAAAACAAAACAAAACAAAACAAAAAGGAAAAAAGAACAAAAAAATTAAAAAAATTAAAAAAAAACAACGCATATTCTTGCAATAGTTATTAACGTAAAAATCTCGAAAGTTGCATTTTACTAGACGAGAGAAAATTCCAAAGCGAACAGAAGGCGAGTTTTGGAATCAAGTACAGACAACGATTTAAATAATATTGAAAAAAAAAAACAAAAAAAAAAACAAATAAAAACATTTAGAAATAATTATATTAATTTATAATGAAAAGAAACTTCGAATTTTATAAAAATGAAATACATGACAATTCATCTACTTATAAAAATCTAAACGGTGTAATCACCAGGGTCGGTTTCTCTCCTTTAAGGTTCATTTGTGCAGTAAACACCCAGTTAAATTTCATAAAAACACATTATTTTAATATTACATAAATAACATAAAAATATAAATTTAATTTTAATATTTTTATTTTCACACGTGTTTAATCTATATTTTTTGTACATCATTGTCCTCTGGCTGATCGCGTCTCTGTGTCACAGTATATATAAAGTATACTGTGTAAAAAGAGAAGACAACACGCCAACAGATCCTTCAAACTGTCAAAGAACACATTAATTTGCGTGCCGCTCTCAAACAAGATTGCCAAACAGTGTTGCCAGTCTAGTACAATTCACAATTGTACTAGATGTAGTACTTTCTGCGTGTAAACTATATATATTGTGTTTCTTGTTTGGGTTCGTTATCAATAAAGACCCCCTTTTTCCTCTTCAATGAATTTAGATGTCACTGCAAATAGAATTCGAAAAATCTGGTACATTTAAGGAATTCTGGTACATTTTTTAGACAAATCTGGTACATAACAAAAACATATTCTGGCAACACTGTACCAAATCAAGCAAACTGTCACTGTCATTAGTGTCATTCCATTCATACTGTAAATAAAAAATTATTTAAGTGAGGCAGGGAATACAACCTCTCAAATCTGGTAATTTTCTATGAGATAAATAAAGCAGTTATTAATTATGTGGTCTCATGGGTGTCGTTGAGGGGGGACAAGAGGGGGCATTTCCCTGGAAATTGACTACGTTTTATTAAAAAGATTTATTTTTTATTCCCAAATTTGTTACTTATTTTTATTTTGTTAAAGAGCGTTTGGACGTGAAAAAATAATTTTTACAACGCTATAATTATGCCCTTCCCCCCTACAAATTCTTGCAACGACGCTCATGTGTGGTATACAGGGTGTACAATAAATAAAATTACTAACAGAAAAAAGAAACGGAAGACGGATTTAACAAATGAGTTAAACAAACGCTTTTTTTGATACTGGAAAAATTCTGACCAGTAAAATCAAAAAGATTCCCATTACAAGGTATAATACAAAAATAATTATAGATTAAAAAAAACTAAAAAACACGCTTTTAGAGCATATCAAATTAAAAAGTTAAAAATAATTTTTCAAATAAGCTTAAAACAATAATAAATGGAAAATACTAGTATTATTGTGAAAAAAGCGTCGGGCGCTCGATGTACGAGAAATATGGACAAAGCTTTTTTCACAATAATACTAGTATTTTCCATTTATTATTGTTTTAAGATTATTAGAAAAATATAAGCGTGTTAATTATTTGAACAATTATTTTTAACTTTTTAGTTAGATATGCTTTAAAAGCGTGTTTTTTAGTTTTTTTTTTAAACTATATTTATTGCAGTGTTCTTACTACCTAGAATGGATATGAAATGTATTTGTTCAGTTGAAGGTAATAGCATACTATTTCGTTTTGTAATCTGTGCGTAGATAAGCTAATATCCATGTGGGTGTAGAAAAAATACATTACTTACTATTTAGCTGGACAGCATCCGTTGTTCCTGAATTTAATATAGACATAAGTTATTTTCCTATTGCATCAATAAAAAAAGTGAAATTAGTATTTAGGAGTAATTACAGATTTTTATCTAGAATGGAATCTATACGTATGTAGAACAAGTAATAAAAAAATTAAGATGTAATAAAAAAATTGATAATTTAAACTCCTATATTGTGCCTTGTAGAAAGTCATCGACGCTACGAAATATACAGTGTCGGCCAGAGAATCTTTTACAATACGTTTCGTACAAGTTTATATGCATAAACTACAGAAAGTTGCCATTAGAGCGAACAGGAAACAAATAATATCAGTATTGTGAGTTTATACGGCCCGGCCGCATTATAACGTTGGCTGGCCGTATAAACCGGCATCGTCGATATTATTCGTTTCCTGCCCGACCTAATGACAAACCGTATTGAAAGGCTTTCGATAGCTGATACTGTATATTTTGAGTTTGAGGCAGTGTTTTGAAAACCCAATGTAAATGCACTGGAGATTATTCAACAACAGTGTTTGACTTAAGTTTATAAAAAGAATAAAATGTACAAATCTCATGCTTTATTTGCAGAAATCCAAATGTTAGATATAAGGCAATTGTATTTTATAAAATGTTTGCAGTATACCACTTTTTCTACGCCCATGTCAGTAAACGTTAAAAATCGCACTATCAACATTCCTTGTAAATGACATTTAACAATAACATGCACCTAATGAGATCTCATAACATACACGTGCGTTTTGATAAGAAAATTTAAATTTCTTGGTTTAATCAAATTGCAGTTACATTTTTGTCTACGTACGACTTTATTTAGTCTATTTACATAAATTTAGTCACTTAAAAAACATATAAATTTTTAGCATTAGCGAGATACATTTTGGATTAAAAGAGTGATTCCCCTAAATGTCGGCAATATATTATACAATATTTCAAAAAATATGTCGCGTTTTCTTAGCATGCTATGGAAATATACGTCATGCCACTTATATTGTCAATTTGTGTAACAAAATATGATTGTATCCGAACATTTTCACAACTGTACCTACCAATATGTTTGTTGGCAGTGAAAGTGATGAAATTATGAGCACTCCACCGGAGATTTTAGAAAAAGCTTAAGCTGCCACACATAATTTGTTACCGCTGTATTTTTGGACAGTTTGGAAAATATATGTGATTCTAATTTGGCTAATAATCAACGCTGTTTGTTAATTAGCGATTTTAACTTTGATTATACAAATGACTGTTTTTATAGTAATAAAATTAAAGCAATGTTTTTACAATATGGAATTGACCAATTAATCACTGAGCCTACATGAATTACAAATAATAGCAAAAATTTGATAGATTATGTATGAGTTAATAATAATTTTGGTAATGCTACAGTTCATCATACTCCGAAAATTAGTGACCATTTTATAATATCTGTTAATCTTAGTAATAACAACAAAGACATAAATATAACCACTAAAATGTGTATAGTCGCGTCAAAGTAGGTTTTCACTTCGAATTTTGGTCGGAAAGGTCCAATCGGGCTAATTTGTTTTGCAAAATGTTCATTAAGACATGAGATTCAAAGTTCACTAAAATGTAGATGCCGCTCGGCCTCCCTCTCCCCAAATGCATTCCAATTGGGGGGAATTCTCGGCTTTTTTCAACAAAAGGCGCATACTTTATAAAACTGCAGTCCCAAGCGGGGTAAATGTTCCACTCAGGGGTTTTAAAGTACCCTAAATCCATTATTTGGGTCAGGTCGCCTTTGCGACCTTCCCAGGGATGGGTGACAGGGCCACTGGGGGTCCAATATACCAGATGTCCGTGGAAATGTATTTGGGCTCCCAAATTGCGCTAGGGGAGTTTAGAAGGGCGGAGATCTCAATGTCATCGAGAATTAAGCCTTTTCAAGCCCTCAGGGTCGTATAAAAAGGAGCCCATGGGGTTTCAAATATCATGATCACGCGGGATTAAATTTCAGGACACAGAATTGATACGCGCTAGTGTTATAAAACAAAAAATCTAAATTTGGGCAGCCTGTCATCTTGTGACCCAACCAGGGGTGTCCGAACAGGGTGCTGGCCCAAAATATGAGATTTGATTTTATTTGATATCAAAATGTAAAATTGATATAATTTCTCCACCGAGTATACTTCTTGGTCTTTTTAAGTCTCTGACGAACCTAGATATGGCTGATAGGGGGCCCAAATTTAAATTCTCGTAAAATTTAATTTTCTCATATAAAGTTGATGACGGCATAATGAGGGTTTTTAAGGGTGTCATTTTATGTTGCAAGCATGTAGCCCCAGGGCTGCACGAACAAGCGTCCTGAGGGCCCGAAACTATCATGTTCACATGGGACGATTCGATTTGATTTCGTTACATAAAATTGATATAACTCACCTGGCCGGGAGCTAACCTTCTGAGGCTGGTAAAACGGTTGCGGTGGATATGGAATTGAAAAAGAAATACTACAACGTGAAATGGAATTAGATTTTTTCATGAATATTTAATGTAGCCTGGTGTGATAGAAAAATTTGACATTTCAATAAAACAATTCTTACAGAATAATATAATATTTTTCTTTTTTCTACAACAAATTCATATTCCATCGTGTTTTGTGTTCTTCCATCTTCTTGTTCAGCTTCTTCGAACAAATCATCTGTTTCAGTGACCTTGAAAATCGTCCCCAATAAATTGTCCATATAAGGTTTGTCTCTTTCTATTAAGAGGTTTAAATCCAATATTGAATCAAGGTTGTCGACAGGCTGAATTTTAGTGGAGCTCTGGAGCCGCTTGCTTGCAAGCCAGGGCAACATAAAATTACACTCTTACAAACCCTCATCATACCAACTTTGTATGAGAAAATGGAATTTTACGAGAATTTAAATTTAAGGCCCCTTGGAACCCCTATCGCTCATACCTGGGTTCGTCAGAGACTCAAAAAGACCAATAAAATCGAATCTCATATTTTGGGCCCCGGCACCCCTTTCGGACACCCCTGGTTGGGTCACAGGATGACAGGCTGCCCAATATAGAGTTTGTAGTTTTATAACACTATCGCGTACCAATTCTGTGTCCTGAAATTCAATCCCGCGTAATCATGAAATTTGAAACCCCATGGGCCCCTGTGTATACGGCTCTGATGGCTTGAAAAGGCTTAATTCTCGATGAAATTGAGATCTCCGCCCTTATAAACCCCCCTAACGCAACTTTGCAGCCCAAACACATTTCCACGGACATCTCATATTTTGGACCCCAAGACGCCCTGTCACACACCCCTGGGAAGGTCGCAAAGGCGACCTAACCCAAACAATGGATTCGGGGCACTTCAAACCCCCCGAATGGAACATTTGCCCCGCTTGGGACTGCAGTTTTAGAAAGTATGTGGCTTGTTGAAAAAAGCCTAGAATTCCCCCCAATTGGGGTGAATTTGGGGCGGGAGGGAGTCCGAGCGGCATCTAGATTTTGATAAACTTTGAATCTCATGTCTCAATGAACATTTTGCAGAAAAAACTAGCCCAATCTGCGTTTTTTAGTCCTACTTTGACGCGACTATATAGAAACTTTAGTAAAACTAACTTAGATAAAATTAAACTCGACTTAATATCATGTAATTGGAACTTAAATTCTACTGAGTCAAACGGTAATAAATAATGTAGCGCCTATACAAGTTTGCCAGTATAAAAGTAATGTTCCATGTTTTGATAGTGACATTATAAAATAAAGGATAGGGATAAAATGTATAAAAAATTGCAGACCACTTTTGGTGCTGATAGAAATGAAAAATGGGGAGCATTTAAAAAATTGAGGAATGAAGTTGTAAATTTCCTAAAAATAAAAAAAGAACAATAATATTTTAATAAAATTGATAGTAGATATAAAAATAATTGTTGACTAACGTGGAAGACTTTTAAAAAGTTATTTAATACTAACAGTCAAATCGAACATAATGTTACTGAAATTGCAAGTAAATTTAATATATTTTTTACTCAAATAGTTGATAGCATCTCTACTGAAATAACAGGAAATTTCTGTAACTATAATATATATCCTCAATTTTAAAATTTTCGGTTATTGTCATTGAGTGAATTGAAGGTAATTGTAAAGTCGTTGGGCAATAAATGTACTATTTATAAAATCCTTAATTCCAAAATGTTGAAAGAAGTATTTGAAACGTGTGGTCATGTTATCTTAAATCTAATTAATACTTCTCTTCAAACTGCAACAGTACCAGATTCACTAAAAATAAGTACAATAGTTCCAATTCCTAAAGTAAGTAATACAATAAATGCTTCGGAATTTCGACCTATAAATACTTTGCCACCTATAGAAAAAGTGCTTGAATCAGTTGTATATAAACAAACTCTTCAAGATATTGAATACAATTATATTTTATTTATGAACCAATCTGGATTCCGCAAAAAACACTCTTGTGAAGCAGCTCTGCAACTCTCCTTATGTAAATTTAAAACGGAGGTAGACAATAATAACTATGTAGTAGCAGTTTTTCTAGACTTAAAGAGAGCAATATTATCTTAAAGAAACTTACTGGATATGGCATTAATGGTTGTGTTTTGAATTGGTTTACTAATTACTTATTTGGAAGAAAACAAAGAGTAAAAGTTAATAATAATATATCTGCTGAAAAGGATATTAACATTGGTGTACCCCAAGGTAGCGTTATGGGGCCACTTTTATTTATCTTGCATATAAATGCTTTAAACCTCTTTGTTGATTGTGATTTTATAAATATACTTGCAGATGATTCTTTAATGGCTTGTCATGATAATAATTTTTAAAATGCGGTACACAAAATGAATCGGAATCTAAACTCTGCCAATAACTATTTAATTTTATAATAACTAAAGCTATGATAATAACTACTAAATATAAATATACCAATATAGACTTAAATGCAATTAATCTTACAATTAACGATGAGAAAATTGATATTGTAACATCAACTAAATACCTTGGCTTTCAACTTGATAATTTTTTATTGTTAAGTAAACATTTTTATTATATTTTAAAAATTATCGAAGAAACTTTACGTCTTTGCAAGAATATCAAAAAACCTATCAGCTGAAACTAAAATTACAGTTTATCGCTCAATTATTTAACCACATTTTGATTATTTTTCATCGATTATCTTCCTTTTCAACTTAAATCAAACGACACAGTTATAAAAGCTGCAAAATCGTGGTATGAGTATTGAGGTGTAGCAAATATACTCCTATATCTACCATGCATAGATCACTACAACGGATTTTGGTTTATCAGAGATTTGACTATGGTGTTTGTATATAAAATATTAAATGGTTTGGCCCCACCTTATTTTCGAGAATATATCAATTTTAACAATCATATTCATAACTACTCTACCAAAAATAACAGTAAGTTGCAGATAGTTAGAACAAATAAACGAACATCAATGAATTCCTTATTTTTTAAATGCTTTGACCATTACAATAAATTGCCGTTTGGTATTAACTAGTTCGTCGGTAACAGTTTTTAAAATGAAAATGATAAAACATGTTCATGATTGATGAAATTAGTGTAAAGTAGATTAAATGTGCATATCTCAAAAAATTTTATTTGATTGTATTAATATGTATATTTTGTATTTTAGACTTGTATTTGGAATTTTTATATATATTTATTTTTTTTTGTATTTTGGACTTTAATTGTTTTTCTGTTTTGTTCAGTCATAAATTGTAATTTTTTTTACTGATTTTTGTATTTTGAATTTGAGTTGTTGTTTTGTAACAAAAAAAAAATTGTTTGTATATTAGGGTTACCTGTTTCAATAAATATATATTAATTTTCATTTTTTCCGCTAAAATCCAAAGAAAGGTACGAAATTACCCATCGAAAATTTATGGATTGCAACACAAGCATAACGTTAAATCCTTTTTGAGAATGTTTTAAGTGGGCGTAGAAAAAGTATAGTACGTTACATGCGTAAACTTTTTCACTTCGTGCGTAATGGGTTACTTACAACTCTTGTTACGTAATATACTATAATAAGCAGCTATATTTCAAACTAACATTATATTATATGTACATTTAAATAATTATTATTTACAGATGAAGTCGGCTTTCAATGGCCGTCAACGACACCATTAACATCCGAAACTCATGGTGCAGATGATGTTGCAATATTCGCCAGAGGCCCTTGGGCGCATCTCTTTAGCGGTGTAATGGAAGAAAATGTAATACCGCACATAATGGCATTTGCAGCGTGCGTTAGTGAAGAAGTACAATGTGATAGTTTCAGAAAAGATGCTTAGGAAATGTTAATATATTTAGGTCACAATCTCAGTATTTACAATTAGTAATTATTATATGAAGTTTTCCATCATTATATACGCTTTTCGTGGAAATTTACCTGGTGACAAAAAGCAGAGCTAACGTAGACTCTTTACTCAACTACTGTGGGATTAAAAAAGCTCGTAAAATTTAATCATTGTGTTTAAAAGATTAATTTTTTGTTGCCTTTGATGTAAAATTATTTCTACTTTTTGTCAAACTTAAATAACTAAAAATTATAACAAAATAAAGAATTTAGTTTGTTACACAAGAAAATTATAGTAAACATTTTAAATATTTAAGTATGTATTTAAAAGTTAGCTCGTAAACTAAGTGAATTATATTTATTGTTTATAATATAAGCAAATAGAAAATTGAAAAATGGACTCTCTATAAATTGCTTTGATATGTATATAATTATCTCCAAATGTGATAAAAAAATAGTTATAGTAGTGATTACACAAATACCTTCTGTAATGTAGTTTATATAAATTTACTTTTAAGTACAAATAAGTATTGTAATTTTATGAAGATATTAATAAAAGTTACACGAATGCATATCAAAATATATCAAAACAGAAACAAAATATTCCCAAATTTACAAAATATAAAAATCGTTTACCAGTCGATTTAAACTACAATGTCTTTTTTTTATTAATACTCCAGAAAAGAAAGTTGTGGGGTATTTTAATATACAGGGTGGGACACTTAAAAGTTCCACTCCGCCTTATCTTCGTTATTTATTGAGATATCGAAATAATTTTTTTTTCGTTGGAAAGACTGGAACAAATACTTTCTTATGATTAATTCAATTATTCTGAGACGTCACGGCTTACTTCCGGTTTTCCCGGAAATAATGGAAAATCGCAATTTATTTTTTATTTTTAAATTGAAACTCACTTTTTTTATTCTAAATTTGAATTTCTGGGACATTTTTGTATAATAATCGTGTATTAAAAATTTTCTGGCAGCTGTTAAAATGACCGTCATATTGGATAATATTGTTTCTAAGCATGTTACTATTAATTCGTTTATGGAAAAAATATAGAAATGTATGATCTTTATAAAATCTTTGTAAGCTTCAAAATTTTCATTGAGACCCATTTACCGTATACCAGTGGCGTATCTAAGCAATTTTTTTTTTAGGAAACCGTTTAATAATTCCATCCACTTTTATCTTCGTTGTTAATTGAGATATCGGAATGAACATTTTTTTGTTTAAAAGCTTATAACATATACTTTCATTTACTGGATCCAATTGGTTTATGACGTTATGGCTTACTTCTGATTTTCTCGGATATAACTGAAAATCGCAATTTATTTTTGATTTTAAAATGAAAACCCCTTTTTATTTAAAATTTGAATTTCTGGGACGTTTTCCGACAAGAAGTGTGTGTTAATAAAAATATACTTCCCTATTCACCACCTAACGAGTGAATTTTAACCCAAGAAGTAGATCTAATACGGGATAGTGACGGCTATTATTATTAATATTATTATTATTATTAATATTATTATTAATATTATTATTATTAATATAATTATTATTTTCCGTGGGCGCTCTGAGGTGACTTACAAATTATTGATGTACCATTTGACTTACAGATAAGGAAAACCCTAAAAATCACACCTACCATCATCGACACGGTAACTCACTGGGATTACTATCGTGTCAACAGAAATTATATTAGTGCTAATATGCCATCCATCAAATCCTACAAAGTACCATGCAAACTAATGAAAAATTCTCATTGGTCTGCCCTGGGATTTTAACCTATACGTCGACCGACAGTAATTTAATACACGAGCGTTCAATGAACTGAGCTATCGAACCAACTTTAAACATTTGATCTAAAATCGATATAAATATAAGGGGTTCTAAAAAATTTTTTGTACAACTGAATGGTATTATTAACCAAATTTTAAACGAGCTGTACAAGATTGGTTTTAGGTTTCATCATTTAAAAATAATACTGGTAATATGCGCTGGTTCAGTGATGATGTAATTATGGTTCCACTGACAATTAAAGTGACAGTAGATTTTTTGAGTGCGTCTTGTTCGTTGTGTTTACCTAAATTATATCGTTTTTTTCTATTATATGAATATATTCCTAAAGTAAGTAGATAACATGCATCCAATATACAATCGTTTAGTTACCAATTAACATACCTTTCAACTATTTTTATGACCTGTAAACAATATTTAGAAATAAACTAAAAATAGTAAGAACGTATATGTCAAATTTATTGATGTTTTTGTTAAAAGTTTGATTAGAATTAAATGTCAGTGGAACCAAAATGACATCACACTGAACTAGCGCATTAGGATCTATTTACATATTTCATAAGATACTAATGACGCACACACCAAAGGAATATTTTATTAATAGAACAATATCATGTAAAAAATCAAGCTATGGTAATTGACAGTTTGTTTTTGTAAAAGATTACACAGAAAAATTAAAATTTAACTTTTTTAATACCTATACAATAATTATTAAAAGATGTGACGAGATGCCATCTATCAAAGTTAACTCATAAAATTTCGGCAAGGAACTTCCGGAAAACTTTTACAATTTCCTAATTGTCTTTGTTAAGTAATTATAAGATATTAGCACTTTAAAAATCAACTAGTATCAAAACTTTTATAAAAGAAAAATATTTTCAAAAACCACGCTGAAAATAATTATTACAAATTAATAGAATAATAAAATTGGCAAAATTAAAACAAAAGAACAAATAATGAGTGTCCATTTAGAATAACGGAAAACCACGGAAAGTCTAATAAATGAGACAGAATAAAATAATAAGAAATAAATATCGTAATCTTTTTTTTAATTTTAGATATACGAGAGCTGGGTTCTCTTTCTGTGAAGTCTAGTAGAGTAAAACAGAGTTAATTTTCAAAAATTTATTTCAGATAAAATGCGTACATGGACAAGCAAATACAATAGTTATTTCTCAGTGTAGTTGCGTCATTTATTTGCACCCGTCTTATATCTGTCATGAAAGAACAATTAGCAGATCGTGCCCAGGGGCTGGTAATTTAAATGGAAAAACATGAGGACGGTAATTTAGTACTATTCCAATTAACGGGATGACGCTCGCATCGAAATGTCATGTCAGTTGTCAGCTCATCAAACTTAAAAAAATTAAGATAGCTGTTGCATTTGAAGGTGTATTGAATTTTAATTCATCTAGTTTTATTTTTTAACACCTTCCAATTTTAAGCATGTTTTCAAAATATGGGAAGATGAATTTCAGCAACAAACAATAAAGCACTCCCAAATATTGATAGTGATGCAATTTATATCACATATTAAATATGCGGTCGTCATATTAAGAATAACCAAGCAATTTGTAATAAGTGTCTTATGAAAAATGCATCTTGCACTGGCACCAATGGTAAGTAATATTTACAAACTTATTTTTGATTCAGTGTTAAAAATAATTGGTTTGTTATTTAAATTTCTTTTTGTTTTTAGTTTTTAAATGATCATTGTTGTAAAGAAAATGTTGAACCTCCAAAATACCCTGTCGATCGATGAAATATTTGAGCCTCAGCCATAAATGTCAAAAATTGATTTAATGCCATTGACATCAAACAAGAAAACACCCCAAAATCTTCAAGGGTCCAAACATGTGTAAGTTTCATTTAAGCTCGAAAGTTAAATTCATTTATCACTGTGTCCAGATGATGAATAAGAATTTGATAACTACAAGTGCTGTACAAATAAATCAATAAAACAATTATCGGATGAAGAAATGCTCCTCAGCCTAACTAGTCGACTCAATAAACGTATGGCAAAGTTTAGCCACACTCAAATTCGCCTTGATAGTAAGACACCAAAAGGATGATGCTTCATTTTTCAAGTTTTTCAAACTTATTTGCCACTCCAAGTCGCAAAACTTTTATGAAGGTCTTGGGCACTTATATATGCTGATTTTGTTACAGAAAACATTTTTGATAGGTTTGTTTTATAAATATTTAATTATTTAAATGGTGTAAATGCATATTTGTTTGAGTATTTCCATGTTTAAATAGACAAATTATATAATGTGGCGTTAATTTACTGTATTAAAAAATAATAAAATAAATTTCATTTTATTTCAAGTTTGAAATTAATGCAAAAATATAATGAAGTAAAATCCAATAAAAATATAAATTGGAAAATATTTGACTAGTTTCAAATCACAAAACAGTTAATATGATTGTTTTATGATTTGAAACTAGTCAAATATTTTTCCAATTTATTTTTTTTTTGTTTGATTTTCTTCATTATATTTTTGCCCAGCTATCATAAAGTTAAACTTCAAAAAGTCCGCTCCTGGCGGCCATATTGAATTTTAGTACCACTCCAATTTGATAGATGGCAGCACATCGCCTCAGACGTTTACCATCTATTCACTTAATCTATGATCGTGCCCCAGGTACATATTGCAAAGCCTATTTGATTTATATGCACGCATGTTATGTGAAACAAACTGTTTATATGTGTGCGTTGACCTTGTATTAATCCATCCAGTCAATGTTAACAATATTAGGCATTAATTGACTACTTTCTATTAATAACCGTTTATCTATGACTATACAGTTGTGAACTATCTTTAATTGATATTTTTTGTAACGATATAAGCAAATTGACACTTTCAAATCAAACTTTGAAATTTGTACGAAATTTGAAGCTTGATTTTCATTTTCTAAGATTCAATGACCGAAAAAATCTTTTACCGAACTTTTATATTAAAACGCGACTAATACACTAGGTAATTAAATAATTATTACTTTTCTTTATATATTTACAACTGCATTTTAATACTGATTCAAATTGCCTGAGAAACTAACGCTGAACCTAACATATGTTTGTGAAAATCCAAACTTATTACTCAGTGCACGTGCTCAGTATTGTCCCAACGAGTTGGTGCCAACGAACAGATCCAATATGCATATAATATCCCATTATTGCAATCGAAAAGGCATGGTTAAACCAGTTGATCTCTTTATTTTTGCTGAACGGCTGTGTTAACGCACTGAATCTAAGAATCAGGTTAGCCTGAGCAGGAAATGTGATTTCGGTGCTTTTGTTGAAAATTTTGTGTTAAAACGTATCAGTATTTCGGGTTAACCACATCCGATTTACTAAAATAATGAGTTTAGTTACAAATTTAAATAATTTATTTAAGGTAGTTTTTGGTTTACATTAAATGCAAATTAATTTATAAAATATAAATAAACTATCAGCCTTTAAACTTTGGCATGAACGTCTTGAACATATAAGTAAATATAAATTTGAAAAACCAAATCTGCCCAATATAACCTTAGAGCATATAAGACTAGAGATATCATTCAATGTATTTTGTTATGTAATAGCGGGGTTATCACTTTTGGCGTAAGGGGAGAGGGGTAGGTACTCCATTCTCAATGGCGTACGGTTTGAAAGGGTTCGTATTTATGTTTACCATTTATTCACTGTAA